CAAGGCCTAAACAGAAAGATAATCAAAAATGAGAAATACCTGAGGGTTTGTTTTTGTTTTTTTGTCAAGATCAGGATAGCGTTCACCAACAAACAATAAGGCGGTGGTGCAGACGAAAAATAAAGGCGGCTTAGAAAAGAGTCAAGAATACATTTCCACATCCCTCTCTTTTGCTTGCAAGACGAGGGAAAGGCTCAGTAGTGTACCAGCAAGCAACCCCACTCGAACAGGGGTTGGGGCTTGAGAGCAGTTTTTGGGCCATGCCCTCCTCTCTCCCTGCCCACTTTTGCCTTACTGCCAAGAGAGAGAGACAGTAGGAGAAAGGGAGCTCGGCAAACAAATCACATAGTCACTAAATTTTACTTACATGGTTCCACAATATATACAAACGTCATGTGGCTTAGAATTGACGTTCCCCACACTAAATGGGAAAAGCCATATGAAGCAAAGATTATGTGTCATCAAATAGACATCTCACTTTACTGTAGGATTTGCAGCTGGGAGGGGATAAGAAATGCAGAGAGAAAGACAGAGATGTAAGCTTGGGCAAAGAAATCAGAAGTGAGTACTTACATGCTGTGTTGTAACAAAGCCAAAAGGTTTGACAGATTTATCTACAGTTGGGAAAGACTTCAGTATTCCTGTAGCATTTCAGAGCAAATGAGTTAAAGGCTTCTCTTGGAGCTGAGCATTAAAGGCTTTTGTCAGCAGTTGGCATCATTCCCAGGTAGTACATGCCTCCCATTTTCATCGTCTCTCAGGACGTCTTTAGTTGTTCTGCACCTGCCTGTGTCTTTATTCAGATTTTGAGCAAAGCAGCAAAGGCAGAGTTCGCCTTTCAGACTTTGGTTTAGTTTTGTTGTAGCTGAGAGTGGAAGGCCCTGTTTACTGTCAACATAGCGTACTAAATGAGTGGTCTCGGGTGTTTACCACAATACATCCTGAAGTAACAAACTGTGTCATCGAGCTATGAAGCAAAAACAAAGGCAACAGTGCAGGCCAATCTGTGAACATAAACAGATTCAAAATAATGTTGCACACGGAGCTTCACCCAGAAATGAAAATCACTTTGATAATCCCATATTCCAGTCTTGAATAGAGCGTACAGGTTTAATGTTCGAGGGTGTCCCTGCCAAGAATGCCACAGACAATGCATCTTTCCTCAGGCAACATCCAAGACAGCTTCCTGAGTGACGTCACTGAGTCTTCATTTTTCTTTTATTCATTTCTTACACATACTTTGAAGCCTTTCTCTTCCAATGCAGTCTTCGATCCAGAACATTTCTGTTGATAATCTTGAAGACTATATACATTGTCAAAGAAAGAAAGCGTGGCTCTTTGCTTTTTTTTTATATCTCGACAGGCCGAGGAAGAGGTAGGAGCTGCAAACTCCTTGCACAGATCTTACTCTGTGTCTTTCCCGTTCTGCTCACGAGCTTGTAAAAGTTTCAGCTGCAAAGATTTGGACCAGCCTCCGCTGGCACCATTTCAAAAGAGCACTGCCTGTTTCAGAAGAACAGCGAGGACAAATCTGTGAGGAGAGCGCTGTCTTTTTGCACTCTCTCCCACCACCCACACTCTCTTGGGGGCTCAGGGCAGTGACCGCTCTCAGGACTTTTACTCTGCTCTCAGGGTAATGTCAGCTCATGCCAGCTCAATCCTTAAGGCAGCAGTACATCTGTTAGAGATCCACGATGGTTTGAATCGCTCAAGCAAGCCTGGTCTCTATCACAGACACCCAGAGAATAGGAAATGCAAGCTACAGCACTCTTTCCTGGATACTTTGTCCTACTTTTCAGATGTGTGTCAAGCTCTCACGAGGCTCAGCACTCCTTGTGTTACAGTTCGCACAAGATCCTGGCTGCTCTGCCTTTTTCTTTTTTCTTTTCTGCTCCGAGTGGCCCCGGGATTCTCGTCTAACCCTCCACGTTGCTGCCTTCTTAAGAATTTATAGCACTCCAACTGTGCTTTTTATGCAACTTTTACACAGAATGGCATTAAAGAATAATGAACTCAGTGACAGGAAGTGCAAAAAAAAAAAATAGGTTTATGTTTTTACTGATGCAGTAATTTAGCCTGAGTAGTGATTTGCTCATAGTCTAAGAGTAAGCTCTGGGTCTCAAGGGGTTTTAGTTGTTATTCTAATACTTTTTTGAGTAGTGGGCAGTACTGTGCTATAAAATCTAAATAAAGAATAGACTGGGGGTTTTTTTTGCTTTTTGACCACACCTTGAGTTTGTGTCAAATTTCTAGATTCTGGATCCTTCCCTGCTACATTGCAACATTGTATTACTTTTGCTATCTATACTCAAGAAACACTATGACCCTTCACACAGCTATGTACAAGTATCACATATGAGAAGCACACTCACCTATGCATATATGTGTATCTTTGTGTTTATTGTATATTTTTACGGGTTTAGTTGGTGCCAGTGTGTAAGGACTCTCTTCACTGGGACTCTACCCTTGTTTACATTTGTCATCACCTAGTCACCTACAATCTAAGTCAACCTTTAACCTTTTTCAAGAGTGTTATGGCTAGGTAGTTTCAGTTAATACACTCTATGTTGTACAGTACAGCCTTTAGTTGACCTGCTATTATCCAGCTCAGAGGATTTTATAAACAAGAACGAGCTACTAGCGAGGCTTCTGAGAGAGCCAGTGTTTCTAATTTGTTCCTTCGTTGATTTGGCAATTTTTTATGTTTGTGCCTTAGCAAACTTTGGTTTTCAGCATGTTTTTTAATCTTCCCATCAATTTAACCCTTGGAAAAGCTCAATTATGAAAATAGAAAGATAATTTATTGTTTCACCCTTTACTAAAATCAATATATCAATGGCATAAATGAAGAGGTTTGTTCATTTAGGTGTGTCTGTTTGTCCATGCTGGACTCAAGTGGCATGTATTATAGCTGAACACAGTACGGTATCCATGGATTTGTGCCCAGCCATCTGAAATCCTCTACACTCACTACAAATCCTAAAAGAGGTTTGGGATTGTTTAGCTTTTTCTCTTGCATTAGCAATATGTCAAGATTTCCACTAACAACTCTGTTTACAGGGTTTTTTCCTGGCATCAAATGGGCCTTCAGTGGGGTGATCATGGTGTACAGCTAAAACAATGAATCTATGTCTTATTATTTGTCCGGAATCCATACATCTTAAAAAATTATTTCTGAACATTATAAATAAAAATCTAAACAGAAAAGCAACATTTTGAAATGATTTAACTCGCCAGCCTCAGTTCTTAAAATTAGTGCTTAGATGGGGTACTATTGTAACAGTAAACGTCAGCAAGTATACATTCACTGAAGCAGTTTAAATGTTTCGTTGAGACTTTCCTTGACTTTTAGGTGATGAAATGATGAGGACTTTCCCACACGTGAGGAGTAGAAGAAGAACTAAGCAAGAAGAGCTTGGTAAATCAGAATATAAATATGATACCATAAAGACCTTAAAATGAATGCAGTTATTGTGTTATGTCTGTATGTGAATTGTGCTTGTATGCTTGAGAGGTTTGATCTTTGTACAATCCTAGCTGCTATTTTTGTTCCTGAATAACATATTTCCATTTATAATGAATGGAAAAGACCTCCTGCCATTGTCTTTTTGCTATCCTTCCACCTTCCTCAGACAGTCTTCCCTTTGGGGATATACTCATGTAAACCAGATTTCCCTGTTTCGTCTTCATTGTTTGTGCTTCCTGCAATATGGGCCTTCTCTGAGTTGATTCACTCGGTTTTAGAGTGTCTCCGGGTTCACGTCCTTACCAGCATGCTGTTTCAGCACTAAACCCATGGGTGAACTAAAATACCACGATCATGCCCCCTTCTCAGGTCCAAGGTCAAGCTATATGTATTTCAACATATATCTTCTTTGCTTAGTGTTTGCACAACTGCTTTGAATGGCCTCCATTTCACCATAACAAAGATTAATGTGTTTTCATTTCATTCAGGCTTGTTGTTACAGTTGTTGGCATAGTAAGAGCTGCTTTTACAGCCGCTCTGGTATAGTCTGTGACACTGCTTCTCATTGCTTTGACGATGTTTACTATCTTCCTCGTGGTGATAAAAATAAAACTAAAATGGGCTGGAGACACACTGTATGGTGAGAGACACATTGTATGGTGAGAAACACACCGTGGTTTCTGTCTCTTTAAGATCGTGATGGCTTCTCTGCTGCTCCCTTAAGGTCACTCGCCCTCCTTAGGCCGCCTGCCAGCTGCCATGTTACTGTCAAGCATTTGCAGAAATGCCAGCAAGGCCATTAGTCCAGAGCGTTTTCAGCAGTCAGCAGTCTGGACAGTGTGAGCTGCACAGTGATGCAGAAAAACAAAGAGTCTGGCCCATATAAAACTACAACACAGTGCTTTCCCGTCTTTGTTTCCTATTACTTGTTATTGTTCACTTCTGCTTTGATTTATTTCCTCCCATTCCCTCTGTGAGCACTCAGGCTACAGCCGCATGGGACACGATGATGAAGAAAACCTCCTTTTTAACTGTGAACGTGACAGCTTGTGATTCAAGCCGTCATTTTTAAAATATGTCGAGATGAATCAAATTACAGTTTCTCCATGTTCCCTCTGGTGTCTCCCAGCTGCTTCATGCATTGTTTTCTGTCTCTTGGGGTACAGCAGCATCTGGTGGTCAGCTGAGGAAATGACACTTTGTTTTTGATAGTGACACTAATTTTTAATCTCTATTTTTAAATGAAAGCAGGAAGGAAACCGCAGGGCTTGTGGTTATAACCAGATCTCTAGATTCAGTAGTCTTTTTGTAACGCAGTGTGACTGTGCGGTTACACCTACCTGAATTAAGACTGCACATTTTTGTTTGTTCTGAATCTCTTTGAATTTCCATCTTCCGTGTTTCTCCACAGAGTTGATGCTAAAAAAAAAAAAAAAAATTGCACACAGAAGGTGAAGAGCTGATTATAGTAATCCCAGTTGAACAGTCATGGCATCATGTTTGTCTGCAAGTTCATGGGGGGACCTGTTGCTCGATGAAAATCCTCTTACAACTTGTATCACGTGACTACTTTGTGGGCTTCACTGTGTATATGGAGGCTTGTGAGTAGATGAGACACCGTTGCCTAAGAACCACACACCTACTAAAGAATTGTATGTTTGTAATGGTATGGTTGTAATACGTATAAATATGTACAAGTAGGTTTAAAATCACACGATTTTTGCTGGATATCTTACAATTTATGCATCGCCACAAACACATCATGAAAGAGGCCTGGATGGATGGCAAGTACAGTATGTAAACATTCCATGCAGCACTTTAGAGCTTTTCATAGTCCTTACCATGCAAGCTTTTTTCCTCTTTTTTTTCCTTTTCTCCTCATGCCGTCCATCAGGTTTATGGATGATGAATGGTTATTACTGCGCTACCACACTCAGTTTCCAATGATACAGACCAAGTAGCGCTAAACCAATAAGAAGGAAAAGCTTTATGTGCTGCTATCGGGTGGACCTACTTAGGCCCAGTGACCTGTTAATCTAATATATCCACCATTGCATTTGCAGGCTATAGCAAGGGTAAGAGTTTGACTGCTCTATAAATTGTTTCTTTACTGCTTTATTATTGTTTTTGTAAAACTGTCATGGACAGAATGATTCTTCTTAATGCTTCTCAAGCTTCCTTATTCTTCCTTGAAATGAAACAAAATATCTTTGGGTCTTGGACTTTTGGATTTTTATTGGGATTAACAATTAACTCATCAAAAAAAATAAATAAATAAAAACATCACTAACTGTCAGCTTTGTTGACATTTCACATATTTAGAAGTAATTGGTTCCGAAATCCGAATCAGAGAAACTTTATTAATCCCAGAGGGTAATTGAGTTGTCATAGCAGCAAATATACAACAAACAGTAGAAACTGAGTTATGACAGATAAATATTAAGATAGATAGATAAATATAGAGATATAGGCATAAATGTGAATATACATATAAATATAAAATGGCAAGTATGTGTGCAAATATGTAGTGGTGTACAAAATTGACAGAGTGCATTGATGTGTGATTAATTGTGTTCCACATGTGTGGATCTGACCCAAGTGGATGAATTAAAGAGTCTGATAGCAGCGGGAAGGAACGACCTACTGTAATGTTCCCTCAGATAGCGAGGTTGAAGAAGCCTGTTGCTGAAACTGCTCTTCAGATTGTCCAGTGTGTTATGGAGGGGGTGGGAGTCATTGTCCGTGATTGCCAACAGTCTTGCCAGCATACTGTCACTAATCATCCCCTCCAGGGTGACGAGCTTTAAGCCAACAACAGACTTGGCCTCCCTGATGCGTTTGTTTAGTCTGTTTGTTTTGATGCCTGCACCCCAGCACGCCACAGCAAAGAAGGTGGTGCTCGCAACAACAGACTGATAAAACATATAGAGCAGCCTGCTGCATACATTGAAGGATCTGAGCCTTTGCAGAAAGTAAAGCCAGCTCAGACCCTCTTTGTCTGTGTTGGAAGACCGCTCCAGCTTGTGATCCAGATTGCAACATTGCAAGCCAAGATACTGCTGACTGTAGGTGTGACACACAGTACATTGGGGGGTACCTTGCCCTGAAGTTGTTATGAAGATGCCACTGGCATGAAAACCTCGAAAAGAAAATTTTCATGTAGTTTTCTGAATGGTTGAAACACGTGACAAACAACTCTTCTCCCTCCTCCCGAGCCTTTCTTGGTTTCTCCCGTTGACGTGTTCCTGCAGAGCAGATGGCTTTACACATAAATCCTATTAACAACTTTCTGCTGATGGAGATGCAGTGAGCACAGGGTTTTCTCTCTCTGTCATCATCTCCCCTGAGAGGTCTGCTTTTTTATTTTCTAAGCCATAAAAAGAAGCGGTGGGAGAGCTAAATTTGGAGGCCACGTCATGTCTGCAGAGAAGGTAAAAGGTTGAACTTAGGTTTTTGTAGATTTTCTTTAAAAAAAATATTTTAAATAAGATTACTTTTCTCTGGACTTTAAGCTCCTCGGGGATGAAATGTGCCAATATTTGG